GTAGGGAAACCAGTAAAATCTAAAAGGCACTTAATTTTCAAGAATGTTATTTCAAAAACATGGAGCTTCTGCGGATCAGTATTTTCATTCAGGCTAGGTAACCATGAATTAAAAAAGCTATAGTTCTTGATATAACAAGTTCAATGGAACTTCCTAAGCCCAGCCTTATCCTTGAGTGACAACAATGCCTCTGTGTCTCACGGGAACAGTCCAAAAACCTTTTGTTTAGAAATGTATATATGTGATTTAGCTTTGTATACAGCATGGTCCTTATAAACATAATGTATTTAAATATTAAACAGTAATCTTGTGTTCATGGAATAAGCAGGATTGGGAGTGTGAAAGCTTTCAAAACAAGTAGTCAAGGCCACTTTTGCGTTTATGGAAGGGTAAATACCAAAAAAGAAAAACACCCAGAGGCATAAATGAAAACTACCAGGGATTTCAGGCAAAAGGAGAGTATATATAAAGTTTACATTGATACTTCCAAAGACATTTGTAGGCAAAACTGAAGAGCACAGTTATCTACCTGACAGATTTATAGCAGCTTTTGTTACAGCTGTGAATCCATTTAGCATGCAAATAACAAACCTTACTAATAATTTTGTATATATTTTTTTTCCCTATTGTATGTTATTTTAGGACAAACTGGTGCAGGAAACAACTGGGCTAAAGGACACTACACAGAAGGGGCAGAGTTGGTTGACTCTGTACTTGATGTAGTAAGAAAAGAGTGTGAACACTGCGATTGCTTGCAAGGATTTCAGCTCACTCATTCCCTGGGAGGAGGGACAGGGTCTGGCATGGGAACCCTACTCATCAGCAAGATACGAGAGGAATATCCGGACAGGATAATGAATACCTTTAGTGTCATGCCCTCTCCAAAGGTTTCTGATACAGTGGTGGAGCCTTATAACGCTACACTCTCGGTCCACCAACTGGTTGAAAATACAGATGAAACCTACTGCATCGACAATGAAGCTTTGTATGACATTTGCTTCCGCACCCTGAAGCTCACCACTCCAACATATGGTGATTTAAACCACTTGGTTTCTGCTACCATGAGTGGGGTAACTACATCCCTGCGTTTTCCAGGCCAACTAAATGCTGACCTCCGGAAGCTGGCAGTAAATATGGTCCCTTTCCCACGCCTTCACTTTTTCATGCCAGGCTTCGCTCCTTTGACAGCCCGAGGCAGCCAACAATACCGAGCGCTCACTGTTCCAGAGCTCACCCAGCAGATGTTTGATGCCAAAAATATGATGGCAGCCTGTGACCCAAGGCATGGGCGATATTTGACAGTAGCTACTGTCTTCCGTGGTCCCATGTCCATGAAGGAGGTTGATGAGCAGATGTTGGCCATCCAGAACAAGAACAGCAGTTACTTTGTGGAGTGGATCCCAAACAATGTCAAGGTGGCAGTGTGTGACATACCTCCTCGTGGCCTCAAGATGGCTTCCACGTTCATTGGCAACAGTACTGCCATTCAAGAGCTCTTCAAAAGGATCTCAGAGCAGTTTTCAGCCATGTTCAGGAGAAAGGCCTTTCTCCACTGGTTCACCGGAGAAGGAATGGATGAAATGGAATTTACAGAAGCAGAAAGCAACATGAATGATCTGGTTTCAGAGTATCAGCAATACCAAGAAGCAACAGCAAATGATGGAGAGGAAGCATTTGAAGATGATGAAGAAGAAATCAATGAATAAAGAAATTAGGTGCACTCTTTTCCAGGCCAAATTCTCAAATCTGGATTTCTAATAATTAGGCTTATAAATCTGTATTCAGGCTTAAAAAATAAGAAAAAAAGGGGCATGAGTTTCAGATATTAGAGGTACTCTTCAGAGTCCATTGAGGTCACTGAGAACTGAGGACATTCAGAATTTCTGAAAATCACACCATTTCTGTTCATGAGACTAACGTAAGGCATTTAGCTAAGACTTTGGCTTGAGAGTCTGAACACAGAGATTGCTAGTTTGGGATCTTTTTTTTTTTTTTTTTTCCAAACAAAGTTTGTTGTCCCTAAAGTTGTACAAGAGAAGACGTAAAAAAGGCATGAAAATCTACAAAATAGAGCTGCACTATTTTCATCCAATTATGCGTAAAAGAATCTTGTGGGTTTAAAGTATTCATTCTGTACTGAATGTACAATATTGAACTGCCAGGAACAAAATTTATTCATAATAAAAAGAAGAAAAAGTTTTTAGTTATTCTGTACAATAACTGTTAACAGTGATATTTGACTCCGATCCTCTAAAAACAAAATAAAAAAGATTAGTAGCCTCTCAAGCAAAAGTGTTTTGGGCAGTCAATACTATATAAATATCCAGTGAGCTGCAGGCCAGAGGCTGGATTTATGTTATGTGACTTCATTGCTTGCTGCTGAATAATCACAGGTTATATATATGAAATCTATCCATTTGTGATAAGTTCTTCAAAGACCCTTGGGGTTTAAAGTGGCACTCCAATATCGCTGGTCCCCTGTTTTCCTGGCTATCACCAGTTACTGCTGCTACTCCTATCTCCATTCTACCTTGCCCATGTAGCTGAAATTCAGATACTTCACAAAACACGGTGGGAGAGGGAACATAGGCCGCTGTGTTGATAGATCTCACTGCCTAGGTTTGTAAGTTGACCACACCTATAGGTGCTATGCATGCCTTGTTACCAAGATAGGTTAAAATCACTGGACTGATTAAGGTTAAAGTACAAATAAAAGTATTTATCCAAAAATATTTGAAACAGCTGGCAAAACAAAAGATGAACAACAGTTTATCTGCTTACACTAAAGCTGAAACAGAAAGGTCTCTGTCTTACCCAGCTGACTTGCCACCTTGACAAAGTGACTGTTGGGCACCCGCTCGTGCATGCTTTATGTTTCTGCTCCTATCAGTTAAACAGCCCTGCTCCCTTAGAGAACCTCTCCCAGAGAACACTCTGTCTACATGGAATCTCCTATTTAGGTCAGTTTCTAGGCAACAAGACAAGCAAACAAAGGAGAAACCCTCCGGAAATCCAAACTTTAAATGCTTCAGGAACTCTTTGCTCTTTTTCTGTTCGCCTTCAGAAGCACTTTCTAAGCAAAAGTGTTGCTCACTACTTAAAAAGGCACTTTACAAACATAGTGTAACTTCCAAAGAGCCATTGCTTCTAACACGATGATGTTATGTTAGTTTGGGGTTCAGGGAATGAGAATCCCTTTATACTTCATAAAGTATGTGAATCAGGCAACTGTTAATCACATAAGCTGAAGCTGTCCGCTCAATTTTATTCTACACAGAAACGGAACCAAACTAGTTTGAATCAAGTACAAGTTTTTCATATAAATTGATTTAATGGGTTGAGAAGAGAGTCAGTCGGAACATACTAACCAAACTGGCTTTGGCGCAGGTGTATGGCAGCGACTAGGAGGGCCTGACTGATCATCTTTTGAAGGGTCATGATGGAGTCAGCAAATTCACAGGGGCCACATTCTTTGCAATGGCTGAGGATGCCTAAAGAATTTATGACTAGCAATAGAGCACCTTTAAATATGTATTTTATAAATGTTGCGATCTGTTGTGGCTATTTATTTAGCACGGCATGAAATTAAGCTAAAACACAATATGTATTAAAGAGAAATTAACCTTTAGTGCATTACAAAGCAAAAATCCATGGGGAATAAAGCCATTATTAAACTTACAAGGTTAGTTGATGCCTTGTAAATGGCAAGCTATTAGCTTCGAGAGGGAGGAGAGCCATTAATCAGCAGTGGCAGAGACTTTTCAATTGCAGCACTAGTATAGCTGCTTCTGAGTGAAGTAGAACCAGCCGCCTTACAGCTTGTGGAACTGCATTTTGTTGTATTACAGAATTCATAACTAGGTCCCAGCCATAAATGCTGGTATTACCGGGGGGGGGGGGGGGAAGTTAATACTTTAAAAATGCCAGGAATCTTGGAGTTGCTAAATAATTGAGTCACTTCGTGAACCAGCCTGTCCTTTATTGCTTTTCATACGCTGACTCAAAATGCAGAACATCATAGAGACTGAGCCTGTGGAATACAGATGACCTGTGATCCTGCTTTGACTATTACCTGTTCTTTCACATGTACTTAGTTGAAACTGTTCGATGTGAATTTCTAGAATGTGTGGAGGTGGGGGAGGCAAACTAATGCCTTCCTTAGAGAAAAAAAAAAAAAGGAGGCAGATTTTTTTCCATCTGATTGTAGGGGGAAAAAAAAAAAACCCCAACTCACTGAAATGAACCCAGGAACCTGTAGTAGGAACATGGTCAGAGGACCAGTTTGCATGAAAGCAGTAAGAAAGCCATGGGTAGCACAAATGCTTCCTGTTTGTTTGTCTTCAGTCAAGCAACTCTCAGCATCTTCCTTTCCTGAGGTAAAACTGAAACTTGTTTTAGTAATGGCTTTGGTGAACAATTCATCCAGTTGCACTTCCTTTCAAATAACTTCATGCTTTTTTTTTTTTTCTTGGAAACTTGTTTTATTTTGAAATGTACCTGCCAAGTCCCACCTGGCTTTGGTCCTCTTCACATTCCTCACCTATGTGTTTTTTCATTTTCCCCCTAGTTTTTCAACCTAGGCTCTTGCACCTTTTTTTCCTGTGCCTAGCCCACCTTCATTTTCCCTTTACTGCTTTGCACCTGGCCACAGAGAAATACATAGAAGCAGGCTGCCAGGACAAGCCAGACCTAAGAAGGCCTAGAAGTCCAGCTCCTAGTACTGCCCAGACACAAAAACAGCTTTGCCAGCACTGGGATAAGGGGAAGAACCAGCAACCTACATCACTGACACCACTGAAAATGAAGTGGGCAAGGTGCACCAATCGGGCGAGGAACCTAACCTGGTGGGCCAGCTCCTTTGCAAAGTCACTCTGGTCAAAGCACACAAGGAATCAGGCAGACCCTTGCTTTACAGACGTGACACTCCCTGCACACGCTACCTTAACCAAGCCACCGTCGGCATTCTCTGCATCCTGAAATTACTTCATTTCTTCTCTGGCATTTGTATTGCCTTAGGAGAAAGTGGTCACCTCCTGGGAATGGGGTCAGGTTGGGAAAGAGGTATAGCTGCTCTCTTCCA